CCCCCCCCCCCCCCCCCCCTCCAGTGTCTCTTCCCCTCTAGAAAAGTGTCGCGTGTCCCAGGATGGATTTAGTTACCGCCGAAACCCGCAGGGTTGTTTCAATAAACAGCCAATCACAGTTAACGCCCGAGTAAGCGCAAAGAAGATGGAAGTCAATATTTGTTTTTTGTTGTTTTTGGTAAACGGTCAATTTTTGACTAACAGTTTTAATCATGGTTCCAATATGTAGTTCTGTTACGTTTCTCTCGCTAACACGGTGTTCGTTTGAAATACCACAATTCTACTGACATTGTATTTTCTCTTTTTAAAGTTGTTTCTATTTTTATTCATGACATGTTTCCATTGTTGCTTTTTCTCTCTCTCTCTCTCTCTCTCTCTCTCTCTCTCTCTCTCTCTCCTTGTAAAGTGTCTTTGAGTATTTAGAAAAGTGCTATACAAATAAAATGTTTTATTATTATCACCACCAGCGCTGCTTTTCTTACGCAGACGATGACACGGCTGCTTTTTTAAATCAAATTCTTGGTTTTTTTTTTTTGGTTTTTTTTGGTTGCTGAGAACTAAACGGATGCATGTGTATATTTTTACATGGAAATACGTTTTTATTTTGAGCTCAACTTATTCGCTCCTGCTTTCAAGCTCATGGCTCCAGAGCAAGTAAGTAAGTGGACCCTTGAGTGAAAACCGAGATGAACCTTATTTTATAGTTGTAACCACCGCCTCTGGCATGGCTTCTCTGTTGATTTGTAGTGTTTACAAACAGCCCCCAGAGGGCGACATCGTGAAACCGTTTATTCTCTAGAAATAAGATTCACAACCGTATTTATTTTGTTATTTTAAATTTGCTTCATTTAACCAGATAAGTCAATTGAGAACCATTTCTAATTTACAATGACGTCCTGGCCAAAAAGGCAGCAACAGATGGCAAGTCGTTACAAACCAAAATAAAATATAGAAACATCTCAATCTCATACAAGAATTACAACATAATATGAACAATAAAACCATTCGGACTGTACACCACCGATAAGTCGTTACTTTTGAGTCTCAGCTAAAGCCACCCTTTATACCATTTATCATGTTAAGGAAAGTGTGTGTGTGTGTGTGTGTGTGTGTGTGTGTGTGTGTATATATATATATACACACATACAGTTGTGTGAAAAAGTGTTTGCCCCCTTCCTGGTTTCTTATTTTTTTTGCATGTTTGTCACACTTAAATGTTTCAGATCATCAAACAAGCTTTTCTTGTCTAGCTTTTGAGGATCTTTTGGTCTACCTCACTTTGTCAGGCAGGTCCTATTTAAGTGATTTCTTGATTGAGAACAGGTGTGGCAGTAATCAGGCCTGGGTGTGGCTAGAGAAATTGAACTCAGCTTTCCAAAGATGTGATAAACCACAGTTAATTTATGTTTTAACAGGGGGGGGGGGCAATCACTTTTTCACACAGGGCCATGTAGGTTTGGATTTTTTTCCCCCTTAATAATAACCTTCATTTAAAAACTGCATTTTGTGTTTACTTGTGTTATCTTTGTCTAATATTTAAATTTGTTTGATGATCTGAAACATTTAAGTGTGACAAACATGCAAAAAAATAAGAAATCAGGAAGGGGGCAAACACTTTCACACAACTGTATATATGTTTGTGTGTGTGTGTATGTATATACATACATGGTAATTATTTGACTGGGCGCTTCAAACGGCTTCAATGGTCTGGTGGCTAATAAACCTGTTTTTGGTCCCATCAGCTGACTAAACTATATTAATACAGTCGGGATGTCACGTGAGATTTTAAACAAACTCTTCTCTCTCCCATAAACCGTCAGCAGGAAGATTGCTTCCTTTCCTCATTCAAGTAATACTCAGTCATAATGAGAAATCAAGAGCGCAAACCGTTAGACGCATTCATTAAACTCGAAAAAAGTTCTGCCAGTTTGTCTGAAGCCTCCTCGTGACTCGTTAATATGCTGATGTGACATATATTATCAAACATTATTTTAAGGTTGACTGAGCTGAGTGAGATCCACAACCGGGTGATATCGACTACAAACTCCTGGGTTCTATAAAGTGGAACTTTAGTCTCGTCACGTGTTATTATTTCATGTGATCCACACTTCATGTTTTCAGTTATTTTTATTTATATATATATTTTTCAATACAGTCCATCGAAGTGCTTGCACGTGGCGGGAACGCGCATCATAATTGAGCTCTTAAAGAAATGAACGAGCCGAAACCGCGTGCCCTTTATCAGATCGATTGAAGGTTCCGAAGTGTTCCGCCGCGCGAGACTCGGGCGCGGATCGCGGTAAATTAATATCCGCTTGCCGGCGCACGCGGCGTTTGTTCGGCGAAGACGCCGGTTATCGATTAAAAATCATTTGCCTTTTCGATGGCCGGGGCTCGTCTCGGGGCCTCTGCGGATCCAGACCCGGTGCTTCTAAACCTGGCGGCTTGTTGCGCTAACGCGCCGCAAACCGGCACGCGGAACGGGACTTGTGACGGATCATAATCGATATGCCTACCGCGTGCATTAATTAGTAACAGCTGTGTCGATGTGCTTGTTGGTCAAAACAAGAACACGCCTTTCTTCACACGAGCTGCACCGAAAGGAGTTTATGGAAGGAAGTCATTTTAGAGGGAAAATGTATGTTTATTTTAATCATATTCATTTTGATAACATGTAGATAATGAAAAGGGAGAAATTAAAGCAGAGGGTGATTAAGTTATAATGAAGTTTATATTAATTATTGTCATAAGAATTACAAATTAATAAACTGGGTAGGTCTAAATAAAAATAACGTTGGAACACTTTTGCTTCAAACTAAAAAAAACTCTTTGTATTTTTTATATTTTATCACGGTTAATTATTCTTGTTGCGCCTCAGCAGGCCTCGTCCCCGCTGAAGGCCCCGGCCTCGTCCCCCCCCCCCACACACACACGGGGCTGCAGTGGCTCGTCTCGGCCGGTTGGTGGCGGTCGTGGCTCGGACTGGAGGGGACGAGGAGCCCTCAGGCTGGATCATCTCCTCCACATCCTCTCGCCGCAGCCAGAGGAAGCGGCTCGTGTCATTTTAGGAATCATCAACAAAACGTTTTTTTAAACAAAAGTTGAACACTAAGTGAACGAACAAAAGATATCTCATAGTATTTATGGAAACTTAAACGTTGTTAAATAAGATTTGTAGCCAATTTGTTTCAAATGTAATTGAATCCAATATGTTTTAATGTGTCCAGTAGTGTGACATATTCGCCTGTCGTTTTTTTCTTCTCCACAGCAGAGGACATCCGCCCCTCTCTCCATGTTGTGTGCTTTGTAAGAGCAACACTAGTCTTCTCTCCTTCCGCCACATGAGGGATATCGGACTATTTGTTTTATTCCAGCTCGCGCTCGGTGAGTCCGATTCACAAATGGTTAAACTCCCTGAACTGGTGTGTGTGGGGGGTTAATGAAAACATGCGGTGTGATTGGGATCCAGTGACTGCGGGGGTCCTGCTTCAAAATGTGGAAACGAACATTAAGAAACAAAAAGGAGAAATACACGCGAGGTGTCTCCTCCCTCATTATAGAACACATTCGATATTCGACTGATTCGAACTCTCCGTCGACAGCTGACGGTTAATTCATTGTTATCTCGTCAGGTTGGAGCTTCAGTTTCCCTTTCACTTAGCTGGTATTGTGTCTCGCGAGTGTGTTTAATAATTATAATACACGTGTAGCTTTTGTTTCATATGTACCTTTACAAGAGTATTTACTTCCACTCCAACAGAAGTCAGAGGCAAACATTGTACTTTTTACTGCACTGTTTATTTCAAGTATATTTAGTTTAATTTTAGTTACTAGTTAGTTCATGGATCCAGATAAATAAAACAAAATACAATCAATAAATAAGGTTTTTTTTTATCTCATGGGAAAATTCACAGGCTAAATAAAAATGACTCGTCTTTACCAACTGCAACATTGAAGCGATGAACACATAAATGCATCAATAATTGTAATCCGATGACATTATTCTAAATGTCAGCATCATTATTTCCTTTTTTAATGCTGCTACTTTTGTTTTGAATGCATGACTTTTACTTGTAACCGAGTATTTCTGCGCTCTAGAGCTGCTACTTCTAATCAAGTAAGAGACTGAAGTACTAATTGTGGATACAAAGCTGGAACCTTTAGTTTTGCTGCTAGTTTCTTCTTCTCCTCCTCTGGAGAAATGGTGCCTCTCTCTGGATCACAGTGCTTCCACTAAAACAAAACATCATTCACAGCAACAGATGTGTTCTCCAGCAGAAAAAAAGAAACCTCTTCAGTGCTCTGAAGTAAATATTTCCATGTACTGTTACTATGAAAGTGATCGCGGTGGAAAGTACCGAGTACATTTACTCCAAAGTTTGTGGTACTTGTACTTTAGTATTTCCATTATATACCACTTTATAGTCCTTCTATTCCACTATAGTTGGGAGAGGAATATTGTAATTATTACAGTCTGACCAGTAGTTACTTTGCACATTAAAATATATGAAGAACTTATGAAATATGACATTGTTTCAGATTAAACACTGAACCAAATAGTCGGCTAATTAAAATCAAGACACTCGGCTCAACTTTAATCGACTACAGTAAAATACTGTAGACACAAGTCATCCAGTAATGTGGTAGATGCAGAGCTCACAGGGGCCAATCCTCTGCACTGAGTACTTTTACTCAGTACATTTACATTTACTAAAGTACATTTATTCTGATAATACTACGGTACTTTTCCTTTCCAATGTAGGACTGATGTATTTTATTTTTACTTAATAGATCAGAATACTTTAGTTTCAGAAAATGCATTCATACACATTCTCTCCTCTGTGGTGGTTTGTGGTCTTTTTCTCTAAACAGATTTCATCCATGAAAGCCTCCTTTCTGC